GGGGGGGCACATACACGGCGAGGGTCGGCCGCCAGATTGATCGGCTTGCGCTCAATACAGAGGATCTTACGCTGGGGGATGGGCTCCTTCTTGGAGAAGAAGTCCAGGATCTGGTCCTGAAGGGGCGAAGAGGAGGGAGCAAATGGGGGGGGAGGACAGAGGGGGAGTCAGGTTAGCATGTGTGTGTGTGTGGGGGGGGGGGCATGATAGCACGATACTCGGAGAGGAAGCAGCTCCCGGGCCCGGGCGACGCGTACCACACCACCGAGGTACTCCTCGGTCAGAAGGAAGAAGGTAGCCACGACGAACGCCTGGTAGCAGTCACGGAAGATGAAGATGTACCGCCCGGCGTTGTAGAACAGCAGGGACACCCAGGCCACCGTGGCGAAGATGGGAATCATGATCAGGATGCGCGAGATAAGGCGCTGGAAGCGCGGCTGCTGGTACTGCTTGATGTGCGTCCGGATGCTCCAGAAGGAGATACCCAGCGAAAGCAGGAAGAAGGGGAAGGCCACCCAGACGAGGATGGTATGGGCCGACATGGTTGTGGGGCGAGGGGAGGGGGGGGGTGGGCAGGAGGAGGGGAGGCCTAAGAGCGCCCGAGCATGGAGAGCGGGAAGCAGGAGGGAGGAGGGGAGGCAGAGGTGAACGGGGGAGGGGAGGGGGGGGGGGCACAGCTCGGGGGTGACAATCTGTCCGGCAGCCTGAGCGGTCGGGGGGGATCTCCGGGTGCCCTTTTGTCACTTGGGGGGTTATGGTGTGGATCTCGTTCTCGCTCCTGGCCCTGGGGGGAGGGGGGGGGGGGGATGCCTGTGCCCACGGCCCTCGGGGCCCCTGCTGCACTGTTGCGCTTGGTCCCTTCGGTGAACGGGGCTTCTTTGTGTTGTGACCTGGCTTTCCGGGGCGCCCCCGCGCGAGGGCACCCCCCTCCTCCTCATAGGGCCCCGGCGTTCGGTGGGGATGTATTGGCCCCCAGCGCGCCAGCCCCCGAGAAATGTGCTTGCTCTCCGCGCGGCGGGCGGATCGAGTCGGCCCCATCTCCCTTGTCCGGCCCCTCCGCCCGGCCCCGTGCAGGTGGCCCACCTGCTTCCCTGGGCGGGCCCGCGGGGCCTGTATGCACCCCTCCCCCCCCCCCCCACTCAGACGCTGTTCGTCGGCCGGGCTCCTCTTTGTCGGCTCGAGGGCCAGGCGGCCCCCCGGAGCGCTGGTGGGCGCAGGCGGGTCGGGCTCTAATCCCCAAGAAACAACACACACGCACCCAGCGGAGCCACACATTTGCGGCGGTACGCACATGGCCGTGCCGTCTAGGTGTGTCCCTCTGTTGTTTCCGCCCCCTAGGCCAGGCTCCACGAGAGTGGGGCGTCGCAGTTTTTGAATCCTGGCCCCCTACAGGGCACAGCGTGAAAATGCCCGGCTCACGGCCCCTACCAGCCTGGAATCCACAGCCCGTCGCGCTGTGTAACATCGCCCTACACTGATCCAACGCCCCCCTCGCCCCCCCTCGCGCCTCGTCGGCTAGCGCCACCCTCCGGAGGGAGTCTGCTTACAGTGCCGTGTGCATCCTAGCGCTCTCCCCCCCCCCCCCCCCCC